AGAGAAAGAACATTCTTATTTAATTTTAATCGCCTCTTCATTTGCAAGTCATATTATATACTAAAGGAAAACGAAATAAATTTTGCAAGTGGCAGCTAATATAGTTCTTTTCGTATTAGTCAACTAGAAATGAAAGTTATCAAGGAGCTAGACCAGTCGTCATATACCTTTGCAAGCCCACCAGCTAGCATTCGAAATCAAAAGAATAGCGAACTGATGGGGCCTCAACGATCCCAGTGGCAATATTGAAAGCATGACGAACTGAGTCAAATTGAGGAGTTTGATGTGGAGGTGGTTTCTAATCCTTGAACCGAATATCTCACTTGGCGATTCTGGTCGAACTCCAGATCTCTTTGTGGGTATATACATGTTAATTAACCTATCTTACTTAAAAATCTAAATGGTTCGAGAAAAAGAAAATTATATTCATAAAGGTAATCACTCAACATAGCCAAACTGGCAAATGAGTGGTAGCCATGCATGCATGCATTATTTGAAACTTGAAACTTATGTGGTTACGTTCAAAATCAAGCACTAAAAGGGCAGTGAAAAACAACGTCAAAAGGGTTTGAAGTTTGGACTATGTAAGAGACAGCAATCAATCGGGAATATGTTTCAAAGGTAATAATTATTAAATTACTGTCCATACAGATTACTGCATCTGGATTCTTAACCTTAAAACTCAACGGTATAGATACAAGAAGGTCAAACCCCCATACCCCACTGCCGACAGCTTTTGCAACTGGTTAACCACTTAGTTGAATTGCACCAGACTTTCTCGCATCACCCCCAAAATACTTAAAATAATGTTACTTTGTTAGAAGAATTAGGCCATGCAGTGACAGAAAACACCGTGTCGAGAGATGATTGGATGGGAAAATCGACCGTGTTTACATTAGTCCAATAATAAAATGTTATGTGACATTATGTGAACTATTATGTCAAACTTTTTGTTCATGTAGCATGATTGAAAATGCTTACAAGACCAAAAAAAGGATTAAGGATGTACTTGTGTAAAGTGTGCTAGACATCCCTTTTTTATATAATTTATTTTAAATGATGATGTGTACTGTTGACCTCAAAAAATGAGCCAACAAATGTCGGGCTCACTCCCGCCAAGTCAGCAAGTTTCGGTGCTTTTCTATCGGAGGTGCGGTAAGAAAGGGGACATACGTGAACGTGGGAGATACTCTACGACGAGAGACAAAGGTGTTCGTGCTTCAACAGTCGAAACAATGATGATCACACTAACAACAATCACCCATCGAGAACCAAAGTAACTAACTAAAGATCTCACTAGAACTAGAACATGTGAAATGATAGAAGACAATAAGAATAGAAATTGTAACATTGTGTATTAAGATATTTACACCAAGAGTATGTAATATAAGGTGAAAATGCTCACAAAAAGTCTTTGTAAATATTTTCTGATCAGTTCATATTTAAGAGTTTAAAGTATAAGATTTAAGAATCTTGTCGCTCAATCATTTCTTAGTTACAAAGAAAACCTATTTATAGTGCTTTAGCCGACGTGGTTTCCGTTAGATCAGAACCACAAGGCCACATCTCCTTAGTCGAGATTTCACATCACAGTCTATTCATATAATTTATACATTGATAAGGAGTCGGTCACCCTATACAATAAGCTGATACAGTGACATTTTTTAATTACTGAACTTAAATTTCGTTCTGCCCTTTCCAGAACCACCATTAATAACCAGGTCTTCTCCATCTCTGGCCTTACAAATCAGATGTTCCATCTTCTCTTTTGAATATAAGGCATCATACACTTCCTATATGGTGAGAATATCACTACTATACAAGATCGTGTTTTTAAATGAAGAAAACGAAGAGGGCAACGAACACAATAGGATCAAGGCCAAATCTTTTTCATCATACTCTACTTCCAAAGTTTCCAAATTAGTGACAATCTCCTTAAATACAGTCAAGTGATCTTCCAATGATTCTCCTTCTGCCATTCGATGAAAGTATAAATGCTGCTTGAGGTTCAATTTGCTTGTCAGACTTTTAGTCATGCACAATCGCTCCAACCTCAACCATAAAGCAATTGCTGAATTCTTCTTCAAAACGTCATGAAAAATAGTATTTGATAGATGAAGATGAATGTGAGAAACTGCATTCTTATCATTCCGTAATTTTTCCTCCGTGTCAAAGTTGCGGGTATCCTGTCAATTCCTAGCAACGTATCATCCAAATCCAGCTGTGCGATTACTGCACGCATCTTATATCGTGCATGGGACCAACAATTAGTACAATTTGCTTACTTAGAGATAGACCACATGTATTCATTCAAATTTTATTTTCAACGGATTTATATGTACCAAAATGCCTCTGTAGCTAGAGTGTGCATGATTGTGTAAAGTCAGGTACTATTGGGTGGGTTTTGTTAGCCTAAGTATGCATCTAAAGATGTTAAAATGTACCGAAACACACAACTTCTCTTGTATTGACACTCCAGATTAGAGGTGCATCTTGAAATGTCAAAATGTAATTGCCACGTAAAAGATTGGCCTAGCTGAGGTTATGCATCTCAAAACTAAACAAGTCTCTATTTGGCTCATAAATATTGCAAACTTATTCATCGAGAACTGTGGAAAGCCTAATCAACTTCAAATTTGGATGAGATTAAATTTTTCGAAATGAAATTATATGATTTTCTTATGAATTGAAAGCATATAATTATTTTTTAGCGTTAATGATTTTTCTTTCATATTCTTCATTTTTTTCCCTCAAAATTCTTGGTCAATACCTAA